TAACTAGTTCTTTTTTTAAGAATAGGAGCCATTGTGCTGTGAATTGAATTGAAGCAATATCTCTTGACTTTGTTATGACTTGAGAATAGCAAGTACTTTGGTTGTGACGCTTAGGCTCAGTTTTTGACTCGAGTATAAGCACCTTAAATCATAGATTTTTTAATTTGCTTAACTGCTTTTACTAGAGTGTCTTGATGATCCCAATCCTGAGTGAGTTATGTGCCATGTGTGTGTGAGGTTTGTTGTATTCTATGCATTACATTTGATGTTTAGAACTTGCCCCGTGTGTGTGCGGAGCGAAATAGTAATTTTGTTCAGTCTTGAAAGTGATATAGGCATTTCGTTGTTGAACCAGATATGTATATTTTACCCGCCTAATTGTTATGTAACGTAGTTAACCCCTTTGAGCCTGTAATCCTGTTTCTTTGGCAACCACATTACAAGCCTTACCCATTTGTTTGAATTTACCACCTATTTGAACCTGTTCACCTCTCACGAGCACTTGAAATGTGATGATTTATGTAAAAGTTAAAGTGTGGAATGGTTTGGTTGGCTTTTGAGTGGAACTAATGAGATAAGGAGAAAGGCGCATTGTTTTTAAAAAGTAAGAGCCACTTGAATTGGAAAAGAAAAAAGAAAAGAAAGGAAAAAATAGTTGTATTGTTGCGAGAAATATTCCTTGATAAGTGGTGGTTCTTGATGTAATTGTGCTTAAAAAGTATGGGGTAATATACATTGAGGTGAAGGTGGACTTTTGGTTTGTTATAAGTAAGGGATTGGATGATTAAGTATATGTATTAAAGTGCTTAAGGAGGAGTAGTCACTCTTATATCCAAAAGTATCTTAACCGACCCGTAGCCTACATTACAACCAATTAAATTCCTTCTTGATCCTAGACTGAATGATCTCGATTAGTAGACTAGTACACTACGCAAGCCTATGGTGCATCTTTTGTGGCATATGAATGTTATTTTTGAGAGTGAGTGAATTATTTCTATCTTGAGTTCCTAAGTGTTATTAAATTTTATTGTGCGGAACTACTCTCTTTTGTTGTGTGAGGTGATAACTAGGGATTTTAACGTGTTTTACGCTCCTTCTTGCTTACGCTTTGGTTATAAATTGTTATAAAATAGTCCCAAAAGGCTCATAAGTGTGCTTGATTGCAGGTTTGATCGACAACGTGACGAAGCGTCAAAGATCGGCTCAAAGGGAGTGAAACCCGCTCAAGTATCAAAGACAAGGTAAACTGAGGGCAAAATGCCCTAGTGCGGCCGCATTCGACTTTGTGCGGTCCGCACTAGGTAGGTTCAGAGAGATGGCTAAAACGGGCTTAAGGCAATGCGGCCGCGGTACACGTTTTGTGATCCGCGGTAAAGACTCCGCGGCCGCACTAACATTTGGTGCGGTCCGTGAAAGAGTGATTCAGAGAGGCGAATTCTGCCTTGATCCAAGCTGCGCGGTTCGCGGTCATATCAGTGCGGACCGCAGTAGAGACCTCCGCGGCCGCGGTCCATTCTACGCGGTCCGCGGAGCCCTAGTTCAGAGAGCCTAGAGTTAAAGTTCAAGAGCCTAGTGCGGCCGCGGTCCATTTCATGCGGCCCGCACTGACCCCGCAGGGGTATTTTTGTCCAGTTTTTCCAACCTAGTATAAATAGAACATTTTACCATTTTTAGGTCATCAGTTAATTCCAGACTTTGAGCTACGCTCGTGAGACCTATTTTGTTGCCATTTTTGGCATCTTAGCTTCAAATTAACGATAGATTCTTGTACTTTAATTTAGTATTTAATTAATATGTCTTGTTCTTCATCTATTTCTTCATTTTCTTCTTCAAGCATGAGTAGATAAACCCATTATCTAGGGTTATGGCTCAACCCTAGTTTGGGTAATTAATGGGTATTGCCATCTAGGGTTAGATTGACTATGTGTGTTTGCTATTTGGGTTGATTTCATGTTTTAATCTATAAATTGGTGGTTGCGAATACTGATTTGTGCTTTGTGGATTTACTCTTCTTGAGAAAGAGAGTCTAAGTCTCCAAAATTGACCCAACAAGGAATTGGGATGGACTCATGAGAAATGATAGTCCCAATTAACGGGTTAAACCTCGAGAGAGTAATCACCCTACTTGAACCCTAGTTGCTTGATCTAATTTGCCTACCCATTTGATCTCGAGAGAGTCAAGTGGGCAAAATCACTCTCTCTACCGAGAGGTGTGAGAGTGGGTAAAATTGTGTAACGGTTATAGCATAAGCCCCAATTATGTCAATCGAACCTTAGTAACATCTACCCGTCAATTAGCCACCTAGGTGATGTCACGACCCTAGTGCCCTTCTTCCCATTAGATACAACCCTAGCAATTATTTCGTAGCATAATCTATTTTCAATTAGTAGTTTGTTAATAGTAGTTTACAATCGAAAAAACCCAAAAATATTGGAAATGACATTTAAAACAATTACACGACTCTAGTCTAGACAGATACCGAGCTCCAATTTCTAGTTCTCTTAGGAATTCGATCCCGACCCTCATATCGGGTAAAAGCTATTGCGGCCCTCTCTTCCTACTTTATAGTAGTGTGGAGTTGGCAGCGATCATGAGGGCACTTGATTCATGAAGGAAAGGTAATATTAGTGACCTCTATGTTAGAGTAAGTGGGTGAGTTGTGAATAATGCGTGGTACTTGTGAGTCAAATCTTGAGGTGAAGATGTTACGCCTTTGTGCTTAGTCTATTTTAAATATTCTTGGTGTGATGAGTTAGGAGAATTGTTTAAAAAGGTCGTGTCTATATAAAGTGTAGTTTGATTGCTCGAGGACGAGCAATGGTTTAAGTGTGGGGTGTTGATGATAGGCAATAATTATGTATTTTAGTTGCTTATTACACTCTAATGTACTACACTTTAAATGAGTTTGAGCTTTAATCGCTAGTGTTTTGCACTAATTGTGTATTTTATGCCTTGTAGAAGTGATTTCGAGCTATGCAGATATTATATAATGAATTCAAGTGATTTAGAGCTTTGAAGTTTGAGTAAAATCCCAAAGAATCAAGCTGGGATCGTGTTTGGGGATCAACGGATGATAGTTAAGAACGAAACGGAGAATCGAGCGGGCATACGACGCATTGTCTAGCAAAATGCACATAACTTTTCGCTCAGAACTCCGTTTGGGCTCCACAGTATATCTTTGGAAAGCTATTTGAAAGGGATACAACTTTTATGTTTTGCATTTTTGCGAATTCCCACTACCGCGACGCATAGTGTGCCGCAGCGTGCGTCGTGCCTCTGTAAATTTTACAGAGCCAAAGTCCTATTTCGCGCAGGAAAAGATATTTCGTCTGGGCCCGACCCAACTTGGTATAAATACATGTAGAAATGCTATTTTAAGGGAAGTGGACATACTTTTGACATAATTTAGACCTACGGAGCCGCCGTGGAGGTCGGAGATTCGACCTAAGAAGGCAATTACACACTAGGAGCAAGGTGGAGAATTCTTCTGCGAGTTTTTCACTTCCTTCTTGCTATTTCCATTATTTGTTATGAATTCTACTATTGTCGTTATGCATACTATTATGAATAGCTAATTTGTTATCTAGGATTTTGATGGAACCTATTGGAGGATGATTTTCCTGTTATGTTAATATAGATTTGCTGTAGTATTTTCTCTATTTGTTCAACTATGTTATTATTGTGGTTGGTTGAAGAGCTCTCAATCGACCGTGCCTATTTAGTATGTATTACTCGGAAAGAGTGCATTAGGTAGTTATTGAACAACATCACTCCTAACGTATATGAGGGATCAATACAAAGAGTTTAAATGTGGGAATAGGGATAACGAAATCTTGGGTGCAATCCGAGTGAGCTGTACTTAATGCCAGCTAGCGTAATTCGGGAGAATATGTTTAGTAAATTGTGGTAATTACTCGGGAGAGAGTTATGACAGTCAGAGCGCTCATGATCGGTAGAGAATACTTAGGCGAATTTATAAAAAATGTAGCGGGAAGGATTCCGACGATAGGGGAAATCATAACTCTGGACCTCCTTAATCTTGTCTCTAACCCTTAGTATCTTTAGTTGTTAATTTACTATTTTAATTTGTTAGTTAATTAGTTAAACACAAGAATCTTAATAAAGTTAGGAATTGTTCAAGCTTGTCTTCTTGGTGATATTGAACAGCTGTAGCTAAGCCTTAGTTCTCTGTGGGATTCGATTCCGGACTTGTAAACCATAGTATATTAGCAACGACCGCTTAGTCCTTTTTATAAGGCATAGTTTGGCGTGATCATAATCTCACAATTATTAGATCTTTATTTTCAATATTATATTTTTTGCAATACCATTATTAGGATTTCTGTAATTCAAGAACTCATTTCTAGTTTTTTACTCAAGAACTCATCGCTTAGTGTTGCTTTGTAGTTCTATTGTGAAGTATTGCGCGAAGTACTTTATGCGAGCCTTATAAAGGGCCAATTAATTATTTTCTCTAGGTTAACTTAGTTACCAAGATTATATTGGTCTGTTAACATTTTTATGGACTAATTTGATCTTTTTAACAGCAATGCAATTGAATATAGCCAAGAAATCCTACAATAGATTTGATATGTTAATCGTTAGAGGAAGTAACTAAATGTGAGGGCATTTTTGTGATTCTATGCAAGTTAAAGTTTTTTTTTTCTAAGCACACCCCTCAGTGTAGGGGTAATTTGGGAAATGACTTAAATTAGCGCAGGGACAAAGAGGTAACTCAGAGCTGCATTTATTTTAATTTTTCCTCGACACAGTCGCAATTATTCATCACTCAGGGCAAAGGATCAAACGGTCAACACTGTACTTCTGAGCACATCGACGGTCAATAATAGAAGGTACGCCGTTAAGAGGGTTATTCTTTATGATTAACCCCTGTAAAGAATTTATTTACAAATTCGACCATTCATGTAATTGGATTACGTGGACTTCTATTCCATGGTACTGATCCTTCATTTATAATCACTTTTTCTGATCATTTCATTCATTTATTTTCACTCCTCTCTATATCTCTCTCTTTCTCATTCTTATTGCAATGATGAAACTATAAACAAAGAATAGCTGGGTTTTCTCATTTCTTCTTTGTTATTGTTTTACTTCTTCTACTCGGATCGTGAAACTTGAAGATCGGATCAAGAGCTTTCGAACTCCAGCCCTAAACCTTCACTCGCTCATCCCAAGGTTCACTCCTTTTTTCTTTTCAATACTTTCGTTATCCATTTTTTTCCCTTATTTTTTCCACTTTTTCGATTTTATACGGCTTATAGATGTCGATTTTTCTACTCACATCGAATGTTTCAGACCTCATTCTTCGTTTTGTGGTTTTGCAGATGAATTGAGTTTAGGAGAGGGAGAGAGAGAGAGAAAGAGAGAGAAAAGGGTTACGGAGTGATCTGAATATATAGGGTTTGCAACAAAAGAAGGTGAATGAATTTTCTGATTTCACGTTTTGTTTGTACTCTTTTCTTTTATTTTATCGTCTTGCTTTTACTCTTTTGAACTCGTCTTTTTGATTTTTGCTTGGGTTCCTTTTTTTTTTTGTTTTATTCAGATCTTTTTCTTGGCTGGTTCGATAAGGAAGGATCTCAGAGAACCCATTAATGTGTGATTTTGATATAAAAAAGAAGTCCTTGATCTAGAAAGATCCGTAAACAAAAGATTTCTTGCATTCCAAGTTTATCAAGTTAGAGAGAGGAAAGCGAGAGTGAGGTGAAATTTTGTTTTCGTTCAAGTCACCTTCGCTAACTTGGCATCTTTTGTGATACACTGCAAGTTTAGCTTGCTCTTAGCTATCTTCTGCTTTTTCACTCTTTCCTCCTCCTCCTCATTTTGTTTTATTTTTGGTTGTTTTTATATTTTTTATTGTTTTTATTTGTTGGAAAAGGGCATCGTTAAACTTTTTAATATGACTCCGGGGTTTATCGGAAAAATCGGATCAAACCTTCGGATATGTTTCTATATCACTCTACAGTTGCTATATTTACGCTTTCTGGCTTCCTTTAATTACAACAATTATATGAAATGAAAATAATAAGAAAAGAAAAGGCCTTACTGCATATATGATTTTATTAACTTACCATGTCCACTTCGATTTGCTAAGCCATTAATGGCTTACAGCTTCTCTATAATCGGTAAATGAAACTTCGTTGAATGCCACATATCCTTTCTTTATTTTTCTGTGTGTATTATAATCATTTCTTGATTAATTTATGCTCTACTTGTATCGATTTAGTATATTTATGAGCGCAAACACCCATATATATATATATATATATATATATATTCTCTTCTTTCCATTTATAATTAGTTTAAAATCATTTTATGTGTTTTGTGTACACAATTTTTAGGAACCAAAGGATGTCGTCGTCAAATTCTCCGTGTGCAGCGTGCAAATTCTTACGCCGAAAATGCACCCAAGAGTGTGTTTTTGCACCATATTTTCCACCAGATCAGCCTCAGAAATTCGCCAATGTCCACAAAGTCTTCGGTGCCAGTAACGTGGCTAAATTGCTGAACGAACTCAATGCTGCTCAAAGGGAAGATGCGGTGAATTCGCTAGCCTATGAGGCTGAATATCGCTTGCGGGATCCAGTCTATGGTTGTGTTGGCCTTATTTCATTGCTTCAACATAAGCTTAGGCAAGTTCAAGATGATTTACTGAATGCTAAAAAGGAATTAGCTACTTACATTGGGCCATCAGCAATGCTACCAATTCTTCAACCTCAAGGGTTTCTCCAACCGCATCATATGAATAATCCCTCTTCTAGTACTATGATGCCTTTTAATATGAACCCAATGTTAGGAATGCCCACTGGGGTCCCACATGGTGGTCAATTGATGATTCGTGACCCTCAGCAGCAGCAGACAATTGAAGCTCAGCAATTAGCAGCAGCAATGGCTGCAAGGGAACAACAGGAGATGCTTCGGAATTATGAGCTGCAACAGCAACAACAACAGCAGCAGCAGCATCCTTCTCAACAACAAGATATTGTAAGGTTTAACAGTGGGTTTGACTCTACAGGCTCAGTGACTGCTACTGGATTTCACCAAATGAGTTCCTCACCCATATCAGCTTCGTTGGCTTTGGGCTCCTATGAGAATAATCCTTATAATCTGATTCAGCAGCCGCAACAGGAGCAAAATAATCCTCATCATCACCAGCAGATTCATCTTCAGCCACAGCTGTTGCTGCAGCAACAACAGCAGCAGACACCGCAGCAACCAGAGACCCCGAGGCAGCAACAGAGAGCCAAAAGCGAAGAGGAGGGAAGGAGCGTCGGTCCTTCATGTTGATGTCCTCAGTACTGTGCTGACAAACCTTTATTAAATAGTACATTTTTGATCTTGGTAAGTCTCTCCTCTTCTTTCTCTTCCCTTGCATTTTCCTTCCTTAAATATATGCTTAATAAGTCCTTTTGTGGATTGAGATTTCTAAACACATGGTTGGCCTGCTCATCCCTTCTTTGTCATTAATTGCTGGTTTCTTTTTTTAGTCAGTTAAAGCAAATATTAAATAAATGATTGTCATTTCATAGCCAAATAGTGAAATATCTTGAATAGCTTGACATATTATTGGTTAATTTATGTGTTCTTGACCAGTGCGAATTTGGTAGTCAGTGTGAAATAAAGCTGAAGTTGAAAATGCCTCTGGTAATGGGTAAGAGAGGGGTTGTTGTAGGTCGGCAGCCAAACTGGAAATTAATTAAGAACAATAGATTATCCAACTATATATCTTGAAGAAAATATTGAATCTTGATAGAATTTTGAAATGCAAATGAAGCAGCATCCACCGATCATACTTGGTACTCTTTCTTTATTTCTGGAGGGTTTTTTTTTTTTTTTTTTGCTTTAAGAGTGACTCTATGAAGCTATAGTTGCAATTTTTGCTTTCACTGATACAATAAAAGGTGGGGGGAAATGGAGAGCTAAATAAAACAAGTCAGTTCAAGCTTGGTTTACTAGGTCTTGCTTTTTCTTTGTTTTTTAACATGTACACATAAATTTCTGCTAGGAGGAAAAGTTCATATCTTATAGTCATTTGCCTAACAAATTCAAAGTTCATTTTTTTGTTGGGAAGCAAAGTTTGTTTAACAGTTGTCTTTCTCCTTGTGAATTTTATATTTTTTGTTTTATTAGCATTGTGTTGTATATTAGTTATTTGTTGCAACAATTCTTCGCGGATATAGTGACTAGCTATTACTAGTATTATAAACGGAAGCTGGGTAATAACCTTCTCTAACCTTTCTTTGTCTATGCCTTTTAACTGCAGCAAATTGATGCCATATACCAGCGTATAAAAAGAGAGACATGAGATAGAAGAAGAGAGATTATGATGTACAAAGAGAAATGAGACGTAGTAGCAGAGTGAAATGAGTATTTTCAACTTGAACGTTAAATTTTGTAGGTATCAGTTCTTTTTTAGACTTTATTTCCTACTCCAAAATTTCTATATATTCATCAAGACCCTTACTGAGTTTTGAAGAACACAGTTTATTCCTGGAAAAGGTACATTTTTCTTAAATGTTGGAGTAGCATAACAGTGTTTGTCTTTCGTTTGAATATAGATGCTTGCTTTAATTAATTCTCTCGCTGTCATATAGTCATGTAGAGTAGTACATACTGTTTATATGTGAAACTGTGTTCCTTAATAAGTGGTAATAAACTCATTTCTTTTCACTCGAAAAGACAAATAGTTATGTATTGAAAAGGAAACTGTGAACTGTGTTAAGTTTCATAAACAATGCAGTCGACGTAGAGGCTCAAACACATTTATCTTTCTTCTATATATATAAGCGATCAACACAAAGAATGGTAGATTCATATGAGTATACGATGCATCAGCGCTAAGTTGTTCAATTTATGAGATAGATTCAGATGCATCCTTGTATCTGAGATCGTTGACCATGATTTCTTTATATCTTTACTACTGTAATTTGAAATTTTGATATTTGTTGTTATAGTTTTCAGAGCTTTCGTGGAATATAGAAGTAATATGACAGTTGGGCTCATAGATTTCATGAAATGGCTTTGATGGCCATGTGCTATTTGACTTGTATAATATATGGATTCTAGGGTAAATTAAACTAGTTAAACAAGTGGGAACATTGATAACTGAAAAAATCTAAAAAAAAATATATAATGATAGAATTTTTCGGTCACCTGCACGTGGCCCCTATTTCATATTTGGAAGAAGGTAAGAGGTACCTGTCATGTAGTATTAGGTGATTTTGGGCTTATGGTTTGAGGGAAAATTTCAAAGTTATCCAGCCTCCAAAGTCCTTACCTAACCAATCAGGGCCTTATGGTTTGAGGGAAATTTTTTGGGAAATTACCAGCTATGTCCATTTTTAAGTAGCTCATTATAAAAATTGGCCAATTGATAAAATATTACTAATATTAGCCAAATTAGCCAATTAGTTATTTGTAGCAAAAAAATATCAAATTTTTGCTTTCTTTTTAATGGGTGTTATTAGAATAGATTGGGCACAACTTAAGGAGCTTGAATCTCAGTTTTGGGATGATTTGGTGAAGTTTTGAGGTGGTTTGAATTGAAAATTCGAAGTAAAAGCTGAACATGAAAAAAAAATGATATGTGTATCACACTGTGTATCATTTGTGTATCACATATGTATCATATTTGTATCACATGTATATCCATGTATACCTGTATGTGAGATACATGCGTGATACATGTGTCGCAGAAGACTTTTTTGAACTCGATTTAGTTACGAATTTTGATACAAAACCAGTCCAAATCACCTCCAATCTTCCTCAAATCTTGAATATTGACTTATCTATATATTTTCAATGAATTTCAACTATACCCATTGAAAAAGTTCCTTTTTTGTTTAGATTTTTGGAATATTGTATAGATTTTTATATTTCATCACCTTATTTGCTACCCCGTCCATGAAATTTCCTTTCCGTCTGGTATCTAATGTTGCTAATCACGCTTAAAAATATGGAAGGTGATTTTTGCATGTGATTTTTTGAGAGAAAGAACCCTATTATTTGGTTTTTCAATTTTTGTTGGCTAGTTTTGGTAAGTCTATGATTAATGGCTAGAGGTTGGTAAGTTGGAATTTATTTGGGACATTTGTGTAAGTTTCCCAAATTTTTTTGGTCTCATCGAATGACATCTGATCTTGATTGTGATAAAACCTCAGTAGAAGACGTACGAGGGTCCACAAAAGAGGTGAATGTATGGTTAAGTCGATGTAAACGAAGAAGCTTACTAGGGTTTGACATGTCATGATTTTCTTGAAAGAGATGAATTATCTTCAAGAATACAAGCATATGAGCATGGCAAACACGAGCACAATGAGCGTAACCTTCGTGCTTAGTTATTATAGAGCGTAACTCTGAACTGAGCGCGAGTAATAAGCCAAAAAAAGATAAGATATTGCGCCTATTTGAATTAAGTGATTGTAATTAAATAGTTGATAAGCTTGAAATATTAATAAGTACATTTTTTAGTGTTGAAATTAATTTTTTAAATAAGTATTTACGTATTTGGGTGGAAATATAAACTTGATAATAAACAGTTGATGTGTTTAGTAAAAAAGTGTTATAAATAGTTCTTTTGTTAGATTAACTAAAATACTCTTAAAAACTTTACAACAGATTATAAATTAAAAAATTTCTCAAAAAAGAAGAAGATGAACAATGAATATAAAGAGAAAGTTAGAAATTTTGTTTGGGAAAAGTATTTTGTAAATCAAAAAATATTATTAACGATAAACTGGTCAAACAAATAGTGTTTAATTACAAGTTAAAAGTCATAGAGCCCGTTTGGATGGAGATGACCAACTTATAATTTATTGCTGATTTTAGTTTATATGCACTTGACTTACGAGCACTTTAAATATTTACGAAACACATAAATAAAATAAAAAACACTTATAAGCCACTTTAACCCTCATTGTCAAGTAATAATATTCAGGCCTCTAATATTGAATAGCACGTTTGGCACTGCCGAAATATTGGAATTCTTCAAAGGTTTGGTGCTTGGCATATGTGGGGCCGCCGAAATATTTCCTCATCTTGCTATATTAGAAATAGGTTACGTTCCAACTTTTTACTTTTTCGGAATGTGACATCACATAGATCAGCCTCTCAAGAAATTGAATTTTACTTCTTACTCTCAGACCATCTCTAACCCTAATACTAAATTTTATATTAAAATAGTATAACATTAAATTTACTCCAATCATTATATCATTTTTTACATTAAAAAATAATATTTTTTCTCTCTTCTATGTTATATTATTATCTTCTATTTAAATTTCATCTTTTATTTCCTTCAAACAAATTCGATCTTTTTTCTTTATTCCATATTCATCATATATAATTCACATTCACCACTTATATAATCATTTATTACAAAATTATTTTAAAGGATAAAATAACTAAAAGTGAAATTAATGATAAATACAATTGGTGCATTAAGATCACGCTTGTCCTCAATTATCATGTTGTGCAGTATAATACATGTGGTCATTATATAATATATACAAAAATTAATATAAAAAAAATAGGATATAAAATTAAAATTATAAAGATCTTAATATAAAAATTAATTATATACACAATATATGATAAATTAAAAGTCCAAAAAATAAAAAGATAAATAAAATAATAATAAATCTAATTTGGTGTTGATGAATAGTGTCACAACAAATTTGGTGCAATACTATTCACGCACTATAATGGTGCAAAATTTTGGTATTCCATTGTGATAGATATATTTTGTATAGCTAGAAGGATAATTTAGTCTTTATATTATTTTTACATGTTATAAATACCACTTGTAATTGTCAATGTAAATCATTCAAGATAATTACTGTTTCATGGTATTAGATATCCAGGATATTCTCCAAGTCTTCTTCTCTGTATCATCATGTGGTTTCATCTACATCCAGTTCTCAAACCTCTTCTCCTTCCTCTTCTTCCATGGCTAATCTTCCAGTTACACCTTCCATTACGCATTCTGCTGTCTCTGTTTCCAATATCAAAAATTTGATTCCTACCACTCTTGATTATGAAAACTATATGCTTTGGAGAGAATTATTTCTTCCAGTGTTTAAAGGGCATGGTGTCTATGGCTTCATTGATGGAAGTTATCCATGTCCGGAGTCAACTCTTACCATGGATAATGGAACTTCTGTTACTAATCCAGCTTTTCAACAATGGGTCCAACTTGACTCTATTGTTTTATCATGGATACAAGCCACTATTTCACAAGAAATACTTCAGGCAATTATCCGTCCTAACCAAATTCTTATTGCTCGCAAGGCGTGGCTACAAATTGAACGTCTTTTCCATGATCATGTTAGTTCCCGAACGCTCCAACTTAAAATTCAATTTCATAACCTTAAGAAAGGTTCCCTTTCTATTGCTGATTATGTGCATCGCCTCAAATCCATTTCGGATGCCTTGACATCAATTGGTAATCCTATTTCTGATTCTGATCTTGTTCTCCAAATTCTTTCTGGCCTACCTTCTGAATATCTCTCTGTTAGCACTTCAATCTCTACTAGGGTTCCACTTCCTACTTTTCTTGAGACTAGATCTCTTTTGTTCCTTTATGAAACTCAATTGACTGGCTTTTCTTCTACTGCATCAGATTCTTCCACTGCTTTAGTAGCTAAAAAAAATTCCTCTTCTCAAGGACGTGGACGTGGAAGAAATTCTAATGGTGGTAGATATGCCTATGGTAGGGGTGACAGAGGACGCAACAACAATGGCTACCAAAGAAGTTATTCCACTGCTCCTCCCCAGTTTGCTCCACGCCAAAGGGCTCCTTCCATTTTAGGTCCAGCGCCACACTCTACTATTTCTTCTGTTTATCCTACTTATCCATTTTCTTCTTCCTTTCAATGTCAGTTATGTTTTCAACCCACGCATGCTGCACGAGATTGTCCATTTCTTGGTTCCAAAGCACTTTTTTTCGAACTTCAATCTTCATCCTCTGGGCATTCCTATACTCCTCCAAGTAATCCTCAGTGGTATGTTGACACTGGAGCCTCTTCACACATGACACCTACTACTTCAAATCTCTCTTCCATTCAACCTTATAATGGTAATGATAGTGTTATGGTGGGTAATAGTAATCAGCTCCCAATCTCTTATACTGGTAATGGTAATATCTCTACGCATTCTTCCACCTTTTCTCTTAAAAATATTTTAGTTGTTCCTACTCTTTCTTGCAATTTATTAAGTGTTCGTAAATTCACTTCTGATAATAATTGTTCGATTGACTTTGATGCCTTTGGATTTTCTATTAAGGACTACAAGACGAAGAGAATTCTTCTCAGGTGCAATAGTTTGGTTCCTCTTTATTCATTCTCTCCTTCAACTCCTAGAATTGCTGCTCATCAAGCCTTTGCTGTCTCATATGCTTCTCCAACTCTGTGGCATCGTCGTCTAGGCCATCCTAGTTTAGCTGTTCTTTCTAATTTAGTTAGAAGCAATAATTTACAATGTTCTTTTGCAAAGCAATTGGATTTTCTTTGTAATGCTTGCCAACTTGGCAAGCACACCAAATTACCATTTAAGGATTCTACATCTTCT